GGTAGAAAGGCCCACAGGGATTTGAGTGCCAGACTTCTAGATTTCTCCTAAGGTTCCTGTTCTACTGAGACTCTTATTAGTTAACATACTTTTAGTTTTAAGCAATAGAAAACCAACTTAACATGACAAACAATAAAGGGAATTTATTGGCCCATATAACTGAAGAGTGCAAAGGTGATGGCTTCAGGTATGGCTTGATCTAGCAGCTCAAAATGCCCCCAAATGACCTTTTTACTCTCTATTTCTTATCTCTACTTCCTTGCTTGTGGCTCCACTCTAAGACACAGTTCTCCCTTCATGGTCCCTGATGGCTGCCAGAAGCTCCTAAGACTGTAGCTTCCAAGGTCAAGCACAGAGGGGAAAAGAGAATCTGCTTCTTGGTATCACAAACAAAAGTTCTGGAGTAGAGTCTCATTGGCACTGGTTGTCCTGATTTGAACCATATGTCTATTCTAGAACTAACCACTGTTCCTGGGGAGGTGGGGGATGGGGGAAGGGTATATGTCAATAAGCAGATTGGTGTTAGTCATTTCCACACAACACATGGCTGGCTGGGATGATTATCAGTTGGAAGGGAGAACTAGGAATTGGATGCTGGAGAAAGGACTAACAAATGTATGCTGCAGCCACTAAATACTCTCAGGAATCTAAGAACAGAAAGGCATTTCCCCACACTGTTCAAATAAAGCTGGCCTGAGGGTAACACCCCAGTGTTTACTTTGGAACTTCTCTCTTTCCTCATAGATCTGGCAATTCAGCAGCCTCTTCTCCAAAATCAAGGGCTGGGAGTTTAATGAAGTTGCCTCCATGTCTGAGCACCTGAAGTCCTGTCCTTTCAACGTTGTAGAACACAAGACTGACCCGATTCTTTTGACCAGCATGTGTCAGCCCCGTGAGCAGGCCTCAGAGACTTTAGTCACCACCCTTAATGCCAGATCAAGAGGAAGACACACCTACTAAAGGCTCAGAAGCCACCATTCTTGGATTCCCACTCAGGGTTACTGAAAGTTCGACAGAGTTTGGTTTTGAGGACTTCCTTCTGTAAACTGCAAATGTGCTTATCTGGGTATTTTGGAACATGCAATGTCCTTCAAAACCTGAGCAGCTGCACAAGGTCGAAGAATTTCCTAAGCCATGGCTTGTATAACTGCTATAGTGCCATACTGATAACTTATTTCCTCCCTCCCCCCACACTATTTTTTCTAAAATAAATCAGTCTGTGAAGTATTTTGAATAGGTGACTTGAGGCCATTTGGAAGATGAGATGAGAGAGCCGTGAAATTCCATAACCAGCACAGGCCTGTGCTTTTGTGGAGAGCTTTTCAGTTTATAAGCACTTCTAATGATATGGAGCAGGCAATGTAGGGATGGGGACTGACATGCCTCCCAGGGCACCCAGGGTAAAGGGCACAGTTTGAAGTTTCTGGAGCTGGGGTTGTCCTGACAGCCAAGTTCAGGGCTTTTTTTAGTTGTCCCACTGCCTCTAAGCCTAGACAGTCCAAACAGCCCAAAAGAATAGAGACCTAGGCTAAGTGCAACAGCCTTGAGGACACCAAAGGCCAAAGGATGAGAGGTAGAAATGAGGTCCTAGAATGAGATTGTTGTGTAGAATCTTGGCAACATATAGAAGGACAGCCTTGAAAAATGAAGAAGAATCCAGAGGAGATATTATATTTATGGAGAAAATTAGGACCAAAAGCCAGAGCCTACTTTCAAACATTTTAATAGTGACTTGAGAGTCAAGGTTCTTTTCCTCTGAAAATTATATTCTCCGTCTGGATTAGGGAGAACACAGGCACCACCCTGGGCTAAGTGAAATGATCACGAGACACTAACACCAACTTCAGTGTCATGTCAGAATGCACAGGGTAGCCCAAGGAGACCTCGCATTTGGAAAAGTCCATACAAGGTCCACTGCAGCTCCTGTGGTACCAGTCACCAGGTCCTAGACATCACTTGAGTACCCCATCGGGAATCTTGAGAAGGAAGACATCTGGACATAGTGATTCCCTATAATTGCTCCTACCTATTGCTGGCCATGACTACATTCTGTCAAAAGTGCGTGACACTTCTGGGTTTTGGTAACAAATAGTTAAAACTTATGAGAACTAAAGTAAGATAAAAATACACAATAGAAGCTGGCATCCCTTAAAGCAGGGTTTCGTGGAACTACTGACATTTTAGACTGGATAATTCTTTGTCATAAGGGACTGTCCTATGTGTTATAGGATGTTTAGCAACACCCTTGACCTCTATCCAATAGATACCAGTAGCACCCCTACAGCTATAACAACCAAAAATGTCTCCAGACATTGCTAAAAATCCTCTGGGAGCAAGATCCCTCCTGGTTGAGAACAACTGCCCTAAAGAATGACATGCCAATGGCAGTAAATTAGGATAAGCTTTTTAGCACAGCAAATTCTTATCTCACATAGTTATCTACAATGGTCATGATTTCATGCAGCTCTTCTTTCTTTACCAAATAGGGTTTAGACACATGATGATTTTAAGTTGGGAACCAAATGGAGATGGTTTGTTTGGTGTGGCTTCACATCCTTGGGTCACAGTGCAAAAAGTATATCCTATCAGCTCTCCAGGTATAGCTGAAGCCAGGAAGGCTGAGCTATTTATCTTAACCCTAACCCTAACCCTCACCATAGCCCTAGCCCTAACCCTAACCCTCTCTCTTTAATTGATGCCATTTTCCTAGTAGTCCTCAGCAAGTGAGAAAGAAGGGAAAAGGAGGATGGGCATTGTGGGGGAGCAGAGAACAAAGAATTTAACCAACAACAACAAAAAAGAGTCTAGTCAATATGAATGTTTGTTATTGCCTGGGTTCCCCTCTGAACACCGTCCAGAGCTGGTATAGATGAAGTAGATGACACCCCTGAGAAGAGTCAAGAAGGCATTAAAGAAAATCCCAGAGCAGAAGTATGCTCATCTTCCATTATAATGTGCCACTTGGTACTATTCAGTAACGTAACTCTATTTTTCCTAATCCTTATTGTTTGGTTTATATTTCACATTTGTATATAAGGCGCCATTTTCTAAAAAATATAACTAGAATGTGAGCTAAGATTTTATTCAGTGAAGATGAATAACTACGACAGCTAAGCAGTGAAGTGGGAGAAAAGGAACTGATCCAGGGTTCAGTTCCATGTGTTTTGAATCTAGTCCTTCCTATATGGAGGAAGAAAGTTCTGAAAATCCATTTTGGGTTTCTTATTTTATTAGAAAAAGAAAGCAAGGGGAGCTGTAGACTAAGGGAGGTGAAAATCCGGGGCTAACGTGAGCTGCCTGAGAAGTATAGAGAAAGGAAGAGAGCAGAGGGCTCTTCCTTGACATTCTGGGCAGCCCAGGGTTCGGGAGGGCATTCAGGAGACTAACCGCACTGCTCTGTGGGCCCCACCGTTCCAGGCACACTTTACTTTCCCAGCTGCTGCCTTCAGCACACTACTGAGCTGATCAACATCATCAAACACATTTTACAAGGTATGTAATTGTATATGTCGCAGGAAACCAGAGCATTTGCAGGTATCCACTGGCCTACACAATCAAGCACATTTTATGGTGAGAGGGCAACTGGAGAAAAAGGGAAGCCTTTTAGAGAGACAGTGGATTAGACAGATGATTTGATTAGTGGGATGAAGCTGTAGTGACCAGAGTGAGCAGCAAGCATCACCTGAGAGAGGCAAGACAGCTAGACACGGCTTCAGATTAAGAAGCAGCTAAGGAGAGTGAAAAGGGACTGTGGACCCAAGAATAGGAGCCTGGACAGGGAGGTGTCTGCGAGCAGAGCCCTTGAAGAGAATCACCGCCAAGAAAGTCAGTCCAAGTAGAGATCAGCCAAATGTGGAGGGCGAGGTCTATAGAACTGAGGCAGAAAGGACTTTATTGCCTTAATAATATAAGGATCTGGAAAAGAAGTTTCTGTCTTATAATGAAGGGAAAAGTGAAAAGCAAGGTGGAACTTGGATGTAAGAATAAAACCACTGCAAAAGTCTGATCTATGTGTGATGTCAGATCAAACTGAAGTGAAGAATGAGATTGTGTATATCTAGTGTGACTTACCTCTGTACACTGGAAACCCCAATGTCTCTATAGGCAGAAATAAAAGCTGCTTTTCACTCTGAAAGTCTAACTGGGTGAATCTTATAAGTGAGGTGTAGAGACAGATGTGTGATTCACTGGCATAGAAGTCACTGTGGAAACAAAGGAGTGTGTGTCTCGAAGAAAAGCCAAGGAATGAGCCTGAGGGATGCAGTGCTCTAAGCACATGGACAGCTCACCAATGAAACTTTAAGGACTTTTATAAAGTCCTGCAGCAACTATGGGTCTCAGACACCAATCCTAGCTCTTCCTTGATCCCACTGTCTTCTCCATCTCTGAAAGCTGAATCCAACTTCAGATACCAGTTATAGCACAGACTTCTATTTTCCACCAACCAAAGATCCCCTATACCAAATCCCTGACTTTCATTTCGATTTGATTTGGGTTTTGCCTAGGATCTCCTATTCTGGACCTTTCTAAGGAAAGGCCACAGCCCTTGACATCCAGGGTGCAGAGTGATGGGCAGTGGAGGAGGGAGTTTTCTGGATATCCCTGAAAGATGGGAGGAGAATTGGAGCCATGAGAGTCAGGACCATTGAGGGCTGCATAAAAAGTACTATTTACCTCAGAATAGAGGTGAGCCATGGTCCCGCTTTATTTCCACTTTAGGACTGAGAGAGAAGATTCGGAGATATTTCTGCAGAGAAGGAAAGTGAGCAAACAGCACAACCAGGATATATAAACATACCTTCCCAGGTAAGCAAACCAGGAAGCTCAGAGTTCACAAACAAAGGAAGGTAGAGTGGGGGGTGGGTGTTAGAGGGGGGATTCATGGGGAAGGAGGCAGGACACAAGATAAACATCCCTGAGATCATCTAGGGTATCCAGGATAGACAGGACACCGAGGGGAAGGAGACCTCCTTCCTCATGCTGTCTCTGCCCCAAACCCTAATGGAGAGGGAGAGACAAGTCTGTCTAGAGCTTCAGGCAACTCATGACATCCTGTCAGACACTTGCAGCAGAAATGGAAAGCGGGTGGAGGCAGTTGGGACAAGGGAAGTCACAGTGCAGAAGACAGACAGCCACAGTTACTGGAGGAGCGTGACATAATTTGCAGGGAAGAGTCCAAAGTGGCCGTGGCAACTTCCCCGCCACCAGCCCTCGTCCACCATCTCAATGTCAGTGATGATGTCATCTGGATCAAAGGAAATCTCATCACTTCCCTCTGGGGAGAAAATTGACAGGATATTAGGGTGGTCAGGCAGGAATCCCTCCACCCCTGTGTCCCCTTTAAACCTCAGGAAGGGAAATAGGCCTGTTCTTGATACCAAGTCTGGGCCCTATCCTGACCCCCAGAATCCATCCCCGTTCTCATGTATCAAGGGCCTCCAGGCACCAGACCCCTCAGGCCACTCCCAACCTACCTCCTTGGTAATCATACAGGGCTACAGCTGAGATCCCAGCCCCAGCCCCAGCCGGGCAGCCTGATGATCCTGCATAATGAGAAATATGAATATGGTCTCATCAACATGGAGAAGGAAGATAGACAGGTCCTTCTGTGTAATGGGGGAATTCTCCCTCTTCCTCTCCCCTACAGCGGACCAAATCCAGGAGCTGCCCCACCACTCACCAGCCTGAGTGGAGGAAAAAGAGGGATCCTCAGGCTCGAGCACATCTTCATAGTCGCCCTCTGGTTCCCCATCTGGCTCATGTCTGTCCATTTCCCCAACATCCTCATAGTCATTCTCTGGTTCAGGCTCGGGCTCAGGCTCAGGCGCTTCTTCATACACTGGCTCTTCCTCCATCTGGAAGCCTTCTGGAGTCCTGGGGGGCAGAGCTGGGGGCTCCTCATTGTCCTGAGAAGAGACAGTGTGAAGCAGGGTGACTTCTGTTCACCAGGAGCTGCCTCTCCAAAATCTCCCAATGGAGGACTGCTAAGACCCCACCCATCCCCATGCTTCCATTCTACCCTCCATCCTTGCATCCTTCTAACAGCCTCTCCTAGGGAAGACAATCTTTCATCCCTCTTCATTCATCAACCTCCCACACCCATCCACTCAAAACATCTACCAAAAGATGATAGAAGGGAAGCAGAAATCAAGTCAGAATCCTTGGAAGACCAAGAAAACATTGAAGCAAAAGCAAAAGCAAAAAAAAAAAAAAAGGTGAAAGATGACAGCTAGGATGACTAAATATCCTAGTCTTCCCAGGACTGGGTGATTTCCCAGAATATAAGACTTTCAGTGCTAAGACCAGGATAGTCCCAGACAAACCAGGATCGTTGATCACCCTGTACAGCCCACCTACTAGGACATGAGGAGATGGGGAAGGAGCAGAGAATCTTTGGGGCTCTGCTTACCTCTGGGAGATTCTGCCTTGGGGGCTGGGTAGGCACTGGTTGTTTCCTACTGGTTCTCACAGGCCCACACTCTGATGACAGACAGCTCCCTGCTGGAGGCCAGGCCTGTGGAGGATGAAGCAAGTTTCCAGTGAGCAAGAAACTTCCATCTTTTCTCTTGTACTGACCTGGAATACCCCTTCCTGCCTCTGCCAGTTCAAATCATCCATTCCTCAAGATGGGCTCCAACCTCAAATGACAGCTCCTTCCTCTTGTTGTTGCAGCAGTAATTGACTGCACTGGCTGGTGACCTATCTTCTGTTGTACTATGTAAATCTTGGTTTTTTTCAGCTAACATTCTCATATGTATATATGAAGCTTAATTACACAATCAGATTGAAATCTTCCTGAAGACAGGGATAGCAACTGTAGACTTTGCCTAACACAGGGGAGGCCTGTGCCTTATTTTCTACTAAGAATACAGACCCCTTAGGCTCTTGTCTGGGCAAGGAATCCTTGACGTGGATCCCAAAGGGCCAAACACTTACCTCTGAGGAGATTTTCTTGGGCAATGGGGCTGACACCACCGGCTCTTCCATAGTGGCCACTGGTGGCTGAGCCTCATGGCTCATCTTTACCAAGGCCTTTCTCTCCTGTTGCTGCCTGGCTTTCTGTTGTGCCTTCTCCTCTTCTTCCTGCTTCCTCTTTTCCTCAGCCATGGATTCAAATTTTGCCTTCAGTCCACGGGCGCCACTGGAAGCTGCAGACACAGGCAAGAAAAATTAAGGTTGTCTTGGGTTGGAGGTAAGGGAGTGGCACTGGAATGAAGAAGAGGAATCAGTTAAATATCCAAAGAAGAGTAGGTAGAGAGGGGACTCATGGAAAAGGGAGGTAAACAGGTATCAATGAAGGAACAAGGGGGTTATAGGAGGATAAGGTAACCCTGATGCCTAGATTTCCATACAGCCAGGCCATGTGATCTCAGATTCTTGCCCTTTTTAAATCATAAGGCTTGTTCTCCTAACCTGCATCTCCTCTGTCCACATTTCTTAAATCTGTATGCCCTCTGGCTACCATCTACCCTCTATCCCCCATCCAAAGCTCCTTTCCTTATGTGTTCTTCCCAAACGGTTCCCTCCCTTCCTCCCTCTGTTCTCTGCTTACAGTTTCTTCACCAGTGTCACTCAGATATCCACTTAACCTAATTTTTTCTAGGAGAGGGAATCTGGTAATATGAGGGTAGGGATCAAGTCTACCTCAGCTAATCTAGGTAGGTAAAGGCTTGGAATAGGTAGCCTAAGAAGAAAAAAGAATGAGAAGGGAGAAGAGGTTGAAGAGCACAGAGAAAGGGAATTAAAACTTACCAGCCTCTATGGGTGTTGTCTTCTTATAAGCTGTGGTTGGGGCCTCCATTTCATTGAAACCAACAGCACTCTGCAGGTAAGAGAACAGTATGTGTAGTGGTGGGGAGGGGGAAGGGAGTGGTAATAATCCAGAAGGCAGTATCGGTGATTGGGTCACTATAGGAGGTCTCCCTAACCTTTTGATGCTCAATAGTTAGACAGGGTATTCAAATAGTGTTGTTTTGTGGCAGAGAGAGGGGTAAAGAAGTTCTAGACTGGTGGGATTAGCTCTCCTTTTAAAAAGCTCAGTGTTCCTGGAATCTCACATCTCTAAGTCCAATTGCCTGGAATGCAGGAGGGTCTCAGGCCAGTACATGAAGAGGTGTAGGGGACGACTGAATGGAGTGGAAAGAAATTATTGATTGAGTTAATCAATGCCAAGCAATCAATGAAATTTTGAATACCTTTTCCTGGAGTTTTTCTGTTTCTCTGTCTCTCTGCCTCCCTCCACTCTCCTTAGTTAAAGCTCAGGCTTCTGGGACTTCCCTGGTGGTCCATTGAGTCAGACTCCATGTTTCCAATGCAGGGGGCCCAGGTTCGATCCCTGGTTGGGGAACTAGATTCTACACGCATGCCGCAACTAAGAGTCCGCGTGCCACAACTAAGACCCGGCACAGCCAAAATAAATAAATATTAAAAAAAAAAATCTCAGGCTTCAGAAGACATGCCCTTTAGATGCTGAGGGCAGTCAATGGGGAGAGCAGGACACCAGGAGGACAGTGCAGGGCACCTAGCTTTGCCCATCCTTTTTCCAGCTTTGCCTCTCACTCTTCTCCATGTACTTCAGGGAACCATTCTCAAGACACTGGTGTTCTGGTGCTTTACCTTATCCACTCGGTCTTTTTGGATGCCATACTGACCACCAAAGCCCTTGGCATAATCTGCAGGATGGAAAGATCTGAGAGTCATAAGAGGAGTTAAAATGCTAGAAATGTATGGGAAGAGGGAGTGGGAGCAGTGAGAAGGAAGACCAGAAGACGGGAATGAGGAAAAGAGAAAGATCAATGAGAAAGTGTGAAACTCAGAGGATAGAGAGGCATGAGTGGGAAAAGATGAAAAAGGATGGGGAGAAAAACAGTTGAGAGAGAATGGAGGGATGAGAGATGGGAATAGAGAAACAAAAAGAAAGAAGTAACAGAAAGGGGGGAAATATAAGGGAAGAAACAGGAAAAATTGAAGAGCGCCCCCCAGCCATCCCCTATGTGTCCCAGGGAAGAAGGCCTTCTCTCTGTGAAGCAGAGGGGCCTCTAAGACTCACAGCCAAATCACCCTCTTGCCATCACCCGGCCTGTCTATCTTCATCCCTTTCTCAGTGATCCCTTTTCTTTGGTCACCCTCCTCTGTCCTGCTCCTTAGCTTGCTGTTTTCCCCTCCACCCCTGTTGGTCTCCTCCCAGCTACCCCCATATACGTACACTTACTCTTCATCCCACCACTTCCTGCATACCTGCCCCTCATATTCTGGGTCCTCCATGTCAGCCTTCAGGGACAGAAGGAGGGCTCCATGTACCCTGTGACCTCCCTTCTCTCCAATCCCAACTTACCTCTTTGGGATTCGTGTTTCTCTGTCTCTCCCTTGTAGTCATATCCCAGAGCTGCCTTGTCCCGTTTGTTCTCCTCTATCCCATAACGGCCACCGAAGCCACGAGAGTAATCTATGGTGGAAGGAGCAGTCGTGAGAGCTCACTCTCAGCCCATGGGGAAGTGCTGTGGAAGAGAAGAGTCCGGAGGGATGGGTGCAGGGTGATAGGGGCCCAGGAAGAGAGCGGGGCTTGAATACTGGGAAATGAAAGAGAAATGTTGTTCTAAGCAACTTTTGTAAGCTTTAAACACTCTTTTCCTCTCCTCCCTTCCTTCCATTTCAAGATGAGAAGATCATTTGAATTTTCTCCCTTCTTCAAGGAAGGAGAAAGTATAGTGTAAGGAGAGACTTCCAGAAAAAAAGAGAGATGCATATGAAATATATACCTTTCCCTAATCCTATATAAACACTTAGCAACGTCAGAAAAATAGAGCAATCTCCCTTTTTTTCTTTTTTAAATAGTGAATCTCAAAAGAAAAGAAGAAAAAAATTCCCGGCTCCAGAAACAAACAGATGAATCAAAACAGTTGACATGATGGTAATCATGAGCTGACATAGAAAACCCAACCTGTTTTAAGTCCCAAATTTAGTGCCTAGGGATTAGGATCTAGGGTCCAGGGTTCTACTTCCTATGAGAACAGGTGGCTGGAGAGCAGGTTCTGCCCACTCCTATAAAAGAATTCTAGAAAAAGTCTACTCACCTGTCCAGGGAAATAGTGAGAGGAATTGTAGTTTTTTTTAGCATTTAGAGAAGGAAATTTTACCTATGAGACTTGGAAACTCCAAGCCTACACCTGAAGGTGTGGGATACAAATATCCAGTTTCATACTACTGATACTATACAGAAATTCTAAGCTGAGAAATTAATTGAATACTGATGCAGGAAAATATATACCACAGAAACAGTAAGCATCAGAAGAACAGCATGAATATGAGACAAAATGGACCCCAAGACAAAATGCATTATAAAAGATAAGAGAGACATAACTCAATGATAAGAGTGCAATTTGTCATTCATCAGGAATATATATGCTGGTATAAACCTATTATCAGAATCAAAACTCATGAAGCAAAGCAGAAAGCGAAATAGACAAATCTATGATCATAGTTGAAAATTTTAACACTCTTTTCTCATTATTAATAGAAAATTTAGACAAAAAGAATCTAAAATTATAGAAGGCCCAAATAACATTATCAAGACCTAAGTGACATTTACAGAATATTGCACCCCCAAACTGCATAATACACATTTTTTTCCATGCACATATAACATTCACCAAGATAGACCACATGCTTGTCCTTATAAAAAGTTTCAATACATTTCAAAAGATTGAAACATGAGATAACATATCCTCTGATCACAATAGAATTAAATTAGAAGTCAACAACAATAAAATCAGAAAATTTCTCCAATACCTGGAAAATAAGCAACACACTTCTAAATAACTCATGGGTCAGAGAAGAAATGAAAAGGAAAATTAGAAAATGTTTTGAACTGAATGAAAATTAAAATATGCATGACTGTGGAACATAGCAAAAACAGTGTTTAGAGGGAAATATATAGTTTTAAGAGCCCATACAGTAAACAAAGGTTTGAAATCAATTATCTAAGTTTCTACTTTAAGAAGCTACAGAAAGAACAAACTAAACCCGCATTAAAATGAAAGAAAAAATAATGAAGATAAGAGCAGAATTCAATAAAATTTTAAAAACAAGTAAACATTAGAGAAAATGAGCAAAGCCAAAAGATACTTCTTTGAAATTAATAAAAAATAATACTGATGAATCTCTAGCAAAAATAATTAAAAAGAGAAAAAACACAAATTAACAATATCAGAAGTGAAAGTGAACATATCACTACAGATCTTACAGAGGTTAAAAAGAAAATAAGGGAATACTATAAATGAAGTTATGCCAATATATTTGAAAATATAGATAAAAATGGAAAAATTCCTTGAAAAGCACACTATACCATAACTGACTTAAGAAAAAATCAGAAGACTGAATAGACCTGTATCTATTTAAGAAATTGAATTCATAATAGAAAACAAAAATCATAAAGAAAACATGGTCTATTACTATTAAAACCCCTAGAACTCAGACAGAAATAAAGGCATAGTTTCCCTGATGGGAAACTTCTCAACCCAGGGCACATAAAACTCTCATAAGACAAATATCCCTTCCCCCCCACTGAAATAAATTTGCAAACAAAAATTACAAACCGTCAAAAAAATAAATAACCATGAGGGAAAACAGATTAACTGAACAGAAGAATTAGCACCCTCAAGAACTGCAAATAATATAACAATGTGAAAGAAATTATAAAATGAATACTTTAAAAATAATTAAAGTGTTAAAGAAGGGTGAAAAACATAAGGAAAGCAATAGGGCATTATGGAAAAGGAATCAGCAGATTTTCTACAGAATCAAAAGGAACTTGCACAAATGAAAATACATGAAATAAAGTTAAAAAATTTAGTGGACAACTTAAATGATAATTAAATACAGCTGAAGGGAGAGTTACAGAACTTAACAAAGATCCAAGGGAATTACCCAGAATACAACACAGGGAGATGAAGAGATGGAGATAGAGAAGAGAAATTAAGATACATCAAGAACACAACTTATCAAAAAATTTTGGATGCAGTGAAAGCAGTGCATAAGGAAAAGCAATGCATATATTAGAAAAGAAAAAAGACCTAAAACCAACAATTTAAGTGTCCACCTTAGGAAACTGGAAAAAGAAGAACAAATTAAATACAAAGTAAGCAGAAAAAAGAAATAAGAATTGGAGCAAAAAAAATCAATGGAGTTAAAAACAAGAAGCCTATAGAGAAAATCAAGGAAACCTAAAGCTGTTTCTTTGAAAAGATCAATAAAATAGATAAGCCTCTAATCAGGCTAACAAAGAAAAAAAGAGAGAACATAAATTACTATAATATCAGAAATGAAAGAGGCTACATTACAACAGATTCCAAGGAAATTAAAAGGTAATAAAATAATACTATGAACAACTTTATGCCCACAAATTTGATGACCTAGATGAAATGGATCAGTTCCTTGAAAAGACACAACTGCCAAAACTTACACAAAAAGAAAGAGATGACCTGAAAGGCCTATATCTACTAAAGAAATTGAATCAATAATTAATAATCTTCCGAAACAGGAAGCACCAGGCCCACATGGGTTCACTGGTGAATTCCACCAAATATTTAAGGAAGAAATTCTACCAGTCCTCTGCACTCTCTTTCAGAGGATAAAAGCACAGGGAATACTTCACAACTGTTCTATAAGGTCAGCATTACTCTAATACCCAGACCAGACAAAGACGTTACAATAAAAGAAAACTAGAGATCAGTATTTCTCATGAACACAGATTCAAAAATCCTCAACAACATATTAACAAATCGAATCCAACAATGTATAAAAATAGTTATCTACCATGACCAATTGGGATTCATCCTAAGTATGCAATGCTGGTTCAACATTTGAAAATAAATTAGCATAATCCATCACATCAACAAGAAAAAAAGAAAAATCACATGATCATATCAATAGATGCAGAAAAAGCATTTGACAAAATCCAGCACAATTCACAATAAAAATTCTCAGTAAACTAGAAATAGAGGGGAAATTTCTCAACTTGATAAAGACTATCCACAAAAACTCTACAGCTAGTATCATACTTAATGGTGATAAACTTAAAGTCTTCCCACTAAGATCAAGTATAAGGCAACTATGGCCTGTCTCATCACTCCTTTTCAACATTGTACTTGAAGTCTTTGCTAATGCAATAATGCAAGAAAAGAAGAAGTATGTAGACTAGAAAAGAAGATACACAACTGTCTTTGTTCACAGATGACATGACTGTCTATGTAGAAAATCTAAAAGAACTGACAAACTCTTGAATTTAATAAGCAATTATGGCAAGGTTGCAGGATACAAGGTTAATATACAACAGTCAATTGTTTTCCTATATACAAGCAACAAATAAGTGGATCTTGAAATTAAAAACACAATATCATTTACATTACTACCCCAACAAAGAAATGCTTAGGTATAAACTTAAAATATGTATAAGATCTATATGAGGAAAACTATGAAATTCTGATGAACAAAATCAAAGAAAACTAAGTAAATGGAGAGATATTCCATGTTCATGGATAGGCAGTCTCAATGATGTCAAGATGTCAGTTCTTCCCAACTTGATCCATAGATTCAGTGGAACCCCAATCAAAACCCCAGCAAGTTATTTTTTGGATCAACAGTTTCTAAAGTTTATATGAAGAAGCAAAAGACCCAAAATAGCCAACACAATATTGAAGGAGAACAAAGTTAGAAGACTGACACTACCAGACTTTAAGACTTACTATGAAGCTAAAGTAATGAAGACAGTGTGGTAGAGGTGAAAAAATAGACAAATAGATCAGTGGAACAGAACAGAGAGCCCAGAAATAGACCTCCATAATTATAGTTAACTGATGCTTGCCAAAGGAGCAAAGGTAACACGATGAAGAGAAGATAGTCTTTTCAACAAATGGTGCTGGAACAAGTGGACATCCACAGATTAAAAAAACAATGAATCTAGACACATGCATTACAAAAATTCTCTTTTCACAAAAATTAAATCAAAATGGATCATAGACCTAAATGTAAAATGCAAAACTATAAAACTCCTAGAAGATAATATAGGAGAAAACCTAGATGACCTTAGGTATGGTGATGCCTTTTTAGATACAACACCAAAGACACAACACATGACAGAAATAATTGATAAGCTGGATTTCACTAAAATTTTAAAAACTTTTGCTCTGTGAAAGACAATGTCAAGCAAATGAGAAGACAAGCCTTACACTGGGAGAAAATCTTTGCAAAAGACACATGTTATAAAGGACTGTTACCCTAAATATACAAAGAATTCTTAAAACTCAACAATAAGAAAACAAGCAACCCAACTTTTTAAATAGGTCAAATATATTAATAGATGCCTTGCCAAAGAAGATATACAGATAGCAAATAAGCATATGAAAAGATGCTCTACATCATATATCATCAGGGAAATGCAAATTAAAACAATAATATAACACTACGCACCAATTAGAATGGCCAAAATCCAGACTACTCACAACACCAAATGCTGGTGAGGATGTGGAGCAACAGGAACTGTCATACATTGTTGGTGGGAATGCAAAATGGTGCAGCCACTTTGAGTGACAGTTTGGCAGTGTCTTACAAAACTTAACATACTCTTACCATAGGATCCAGCAATTGCACTCCTTAGTATTTACCCAAAGGAGTTGAAAATGTAGGTCTACACAAAAACCTGCACACAGATGTTTATAGCAGCTTTATTCATAATCACCCAAACTTGGAAGCAACCACTATGTTCTTCAGTAGGTGAGCGGATAAATAAACTGGGGTACATCAAGACAAAGGAATAATATTCAGCAAAAAAGAAATGAGTTATCAAGCTATGAAAAGATATGGAGGAAACTTAAATGCATATTACTAAATGAAAGAAGCCAAACTGGAAAGGCTACATGGTATATGATTCCAACCATATAATATTCTGTAAAAGGCGAAACTATAGAGACAAAAAGAAATCAGTGGTTGCTGAGGGATGAGGGAGATGAATAGGCAGAGCACGGAGGATTTTTAGGACACTGAAAATACTTTGTATGACAGTATAATGATGGATATATGTCAGTATACTTTTGTCCAAACTCACAGAAAACACAACACCAAGAGCGAACCCTAAAGTAAACTATGGACTTTGGCTGACTTTGATGTGTTACTGTAGAATCATCCTTGGTTAAAAAAAAAAAAAAGAAAGAAAACACACACACACACACACACACACACACACACACACCATTCTGGTCAGTGATGTTGATAATGGGGGAGGCTATACATGTATGGGTGCAGGACTGTAACTTCCTCTCAATTTTGTCCTAAATCTAAAAAGCTCTGAAAACATAAAGTCTTTTTTAAAAGAGAGAGAGAGATGGAGAAGAGAATAAAAAGTTCTAATATACATCTGAGTTCCAGAAGAAAGAATAAAAGAGAAGAGAGGAGAGACACTATCTAAAGAGAAAATGCCCGAGAACTTTTCATATTGAAAGTTAATTCTCAGGTTGAAGAGGAGCAGTAAGTCTCATGTAGAATAATAAAAACAGATCAACATCTAGATATAGCCTGATGATATTTCAGGATATCAGAAACAAAAAGAAAAATTTTCATGAGACAAAACAAAAACAGAGACAAGACATGTTACGTACAAAGGAATGATGATTAGACTAACCCAAGAGAAATGCCAGAGATGATGGAATAGTATCTTCAACACGATGAAGGGAAAATAACAATGAAGAATGGAGCAAAATAAATTTTTTTTACAGACAAAGCCTGGGAGTTCTCTCATAGACTCTCACTGAAAGAATTATCAAAGGATATACTCTAGCAAGAAGGAATAGAAGAAGCAAGGAGGAAACAATGAAATATTATAAACAATGATGAGCTAGTAAACTGGTAAATATGTTGGTCAATTTAAATAAGGCTTCACCTAGTAATAATAATGATTAATTTTTGTGGGGTTTAAAAACAAACACATGTAATCGATATACTAAACAATTATTCAGTTGGTACAAAGACTATAGAATGTAGAAGAAATGTAATTAAATTATTCTTCATTTCCTGTGTTACTCAGGAAGAGATAGTGATTAATTTTAAACTTAAGCCGCAGATGCACATTAAAACTTAGGAATAACTTCCTAAAATAAAGGAGTACAATATCCTATTTTTGATCCATTAGAGGGGAAATGGGACTAAAGAAAACTTGACCAAGCTCATAGAAAGCAATATAGGAGAAAAAAAGAAGCAAGTACATGCTTGGATTTAAAAATAAAATAAAATAGCAGGGAACTGGGCCATGGAACTAAAGGGAGTTGAAGATGGCTGTTGGGAGTTGAAGTCTGGGCAGTCAGGTTGCTCAGGCTGAAGTGCAGGGTCCTTGCCTTTCTGAGATGTGTGTTTTTCCACTTCTCCTTTGTAATCAAAGCCAACAGCTGACTACAGAGAAAAGGAGAGAGAATTGATTAGAGTCAGAGATGAACATTTTCTCCCGCTCTCACTTACCCTTACACCTATAGCTCAGCCCAGGGGTTAGTTATAGGGGCTCAGTTATAGGGGGTTCAATGTAGAAACAGACAGTACCCTGACAGGCTGGTGTAAAGGCAGTGTGCTACAAACCAATGACCATGGGCCCTGGACACAGATAGCTCTAGATCCAAACCCCAACCCCACCTTTCCTATTTGAAGTTGTGTAACTTTAGGTATGTCCTTTAATATTACTGAGCCTCAGCCTCTTTTTTTAGTCTTGTTTTTCATTTGGCCATACGGAGGCATGTGGGATCTTAGTTTCCTGACCAGGGATGGAACCCGTGCCCCCCTGCAGTGGAAGTGCAGAGTCTTAAACCACTGGACTGCCAGGGAAGTCCCCATTGGGCCCTTTAAATATGAAATGAAAATAGGTATACCTGCCTTATTAACCTCAACTGTAAAATGATTCCAACTTATTTGGGATATTGTGAGGACTAAATGGGGCAAGATACATAAAGTGTGGGCACTCAGTAAATTAGTGTTTTTCTTCCTAAGTCTCATGAAACTAAAATGAGATAATAACTAGAAAACTGCCTTGTAAACTATAAAGCAGCACTGTGCACATGTAAGAGATATCATCCTATACTGACTGATTATACTGTGCCTCTTCTCTTTCCTTACACAATAGTGGAAACCCAGATATGTAGATTTTGATGGGATGAGAGGCAGCCAGGAGAATCTGGATCCTAACTGCTTTGGGACTGGATATATTGGCAAATATCTAACCTAGCTATGTCCCCATGTGGCTCAGTAATAGGTCCCTAAGCAAGTCTAGATTTTGCATTTTAAAAGTTATTAGTATGGGACTTCCCTGGTGGTGCAGTGGTTAAGAATCCGCCTGCCAATGCGGGGGACACAGGTTTGAGCCCTGGTCCGGGAAGATCCCACATGCTGAGGAGCAACTAAGCCCGTGGGACACAACTACTGAGCCTGTGCTCTAGAGCCCAAGAGCCACAACTACTGAGCCCTCGTACCACAGCTACTGAAGCCCACGCGCCTAGAGCCCATGCTCTGCAACAAGAGAAGCCACTGCATGAGAAGCCCACGCACTACAACAAAGAGTAGGCCCTGCTCGCCACAACTAGAGAAAGCCCGTGTGCAGCAACGAAGACCCAATGCAGCCAAAAATAAATAAGTAAAATAAATAAATTTATTTAAAAAAAAGTTATTAGTATGTATTGTTTCTTGATTTACAAGACACACTGATTGTTAAGGTGATTCGGTTTGTGGCTGGTGAGGCAGAAGTTGAAAGAAAGCACAGTGAAAGATTAGGCAAAGGCAGGAGGGGAGCCAAGAAGGAAGAGAAACTGCACCCTGATTAGAGACCATTACATGCTCCATATTCCATTACTGCTTTTAAAAATTATCCTCTGTGCTTTTACTTTACCTTACAGTATGTTTTGAACTTTTCTGGTTTTTTTACCCCTACAATTCAAATAACACTCTAACACTTAGCTTTAAGGATTCAGGCCTACTTATTAACAGCTGCAGGTTAAACAAACAAACAAACAAACAAAATCTCAGCTAGCTGTGAAGGAGATGTCCCCTCTGTGTGCTGCTGCAGGGCAGAGACACTACTCTGCCCCATAAAGAATGAGCTCAAAGAATCCGATCTACTAAGGTGTGAAAATGAGAACATGAATGAGTTATCAATCGTACTCTCCGGACCACTCTATCGTCTGTAATCATGCTGTCCTTTTTCTCTTTCTCTCTTTAAAACTATCACTACTTTTTTGTACAAAGGAGTCTTTAAAACACCTGGACTTCAAGGAGTTAGTACTAAGTCCTGTGAAAAGTAACCTTCACCTTCTAAAAACATTGTAACCTTAATTAGTTGTTTTACTTGATTATTTGCTACCATTGTAATAATATTTCAGCTGATATGTCTGTTTTCCTGAAAGGCATAAATATTTATAAGGCTTTCATATTAGACCAAAGGAGGAGCTTTGGAATTTCCTCTTCTCTCTTCATGCGTACAGGTATGATAAAACCAATGGCTTAACATAGCACAGGGAGATCAGCTCAGTGCTTTGTGACCACCTAGAGGGGTGGGATAGGGAGCGTGGGAGGGAGACGCAAGAGGGAGGGGATATGGGGATATATGTATACATATAGCTGATTCACTTTGTTATACAGCAGAAACTAACACACCACTGTAAAGCAATTATACCGCAATAAAGATGTTTAAAAAATAAACAAATAAATAAAATAAAAAGCAGGGGGGAAAACAATAAAACAATGGCTTAGGGATTCCTTATTCAGAGTTTGGGAGTCTTTGTCTCTTTTAAATTAACACCTTTCAGGTCAGCATGTGGCCTCCAACAGCAGCACCAAAGAACTTGCTGAGGGAGGTGTGGGAGCCATCCTCATGATGGACCCTCCATGAGGCCGCTGCCCCATCTTTCCACAGGAGAAGCACAGACCTACATTCGAGGTGATTGTTGGTAAGTCCCACATGATCTGAGTGGGGTGGCACAGGGAGAGAGCTGTCACTTACCTTGTCTGCCCTGTCCTTCTCAACTCCATATTTGCCCCCAAAGCCTCTGGCAGCATCAGTCTGAGAAGAGTGCTTCTCCACCTCAGCAACATACTCATGGCCCACAGCACTCTGAGAAAAATCAAGATCGGAATGAGTGAGAAGATAAAAATGACCATGAAAAAATAAAATGATCAGAGATAGGATGGGATGTAAGAATACAAGAAATTCCACTCTAGGTCACACTGATAATCTCTGATGGAGTGCCAAGGAATGTGTGATGGGAGGGCAAGATGACTTTTTCTGGAACCTTGCACATCCTGACTCTTCTTTAATACCACTAGGAACCCATCATTTAGGAAACTCCCATAGGATGGGTTGGGAACCAGAAGGATAGAGACTACATAGACAGGGCAGTGTTTAAACCACTGCTTAAAAAGAGGGTGAAACAAGGGCTTTGTGCATCAAAATAGAAATGAGGGTAGTTACTGAGGAGACACCTAAGGGGACTGACTAGATGCCATAGCCTGGATTGAATATTTAACACAGCCAGGTGCTTTTGTTCTGGATCTTTGTTCCTACACAACCATCAAAGTTCAGAAGTGCAGCCTGGGCCCTGATATTAACAGTGACTGACTCTTTATACCAAAGGGGGCTGGTAGACAACACCATGAGTAGTCCAAGATGGCATATAATTTAACTGTTTTTTATTCCCCTCCACTTTTTTCTCCGTCTACCATTTTCTACTTGGTTTTGAAAGGTATGTCTCTTTTAATATTTGCATATGGATGCTTTAATAATCTTGGAATTGAATAATACTTCAAACCAAATAGTGATACCTTGCAGAGTCTCAACTAAGAAGAAATTAGAAAGTTTCTTCTTCCTCCTGTATTTCCGATTCCATGCTGGGATAAATATTAATACAGAGATGGATGTGAAGCACTGCCCTATATGAGCTCCTGGGAGCTCTTTTTGCAGTGTTTTTGGATCTGTGTAGGTCAACTTTGTTTGCTGAATTCAGGAATGAATGACTGCTTATCTAGTTTACTCTTTCCTAGGAATTCTGTGGAAGAATACAATGCCTACTTTGCACTTTACACAATGACAGAAGGGTGAACTAACGGCTTTCATTAAATTGCTTTTTCTCCTTGGAGATTAAATCTTTTTTCTTATAGGAATATATCTCTATCTTTTTAAAAATAAATTTATTTATTTTTTATTTGTTTAGTTTTGGCTGCATTGGGTCTTCGTTGCTGCATACGGGCTTTCTCTAGTTGCGTCGAAGGGGGCTACTCTTTGTTGTGGTGTGCAGGCTTCTCACTGCAGTGGCTTCTCTTGTTGCAGAGCATGGGCTCTAGGTGCGTGGGCTTCAGTAGTTGTGGCCCATGGGCTTAGTTGCTCCGCAGCATGTGGGATCTTCCCTGACCAGGATCAAACCCGTGTCCCCTGCATTGACAGGTGGATTCTTAACCACTGCACCACCAGGGAAGTCCTATATCTTTATCTTTGAGATTAGGAAAGTCAATGGAAAAATACAATTCAACATACAGGCTTTCTTTTTATCATACTTTCATAGTATCTAATGGATAAAGGAAAAACAATAATATATTTGAGGACATCTAATAGATAAATTCACATAAATATTTTTCACATCTATGTGCAAATCATATTAAGTGATGTATAAAATATGTACAAAAAGAACACTAAATATACAGTAAAGAAAACAGTAAGAGACACATCCATTTAAAAGCAGTAAATGATTTTAAAACATATTTTCCCCTTCTCTTGTGTGTCTCCGTAGTCTAGGAGTTACAGTGTGGCTGGGTGTACACTAGGCCAGCCCTTCTAAATTCTTGGCTCCCATTTTCCGTCATCTATATTTTATGTGTTGAAATCAGGGGAAAAATGACACAAATAATATGTGGACATTCTCTTTTAAAACCCAAATGAATATTTACTTTTGAATACGTTTTAAACCATAAAACCAACAAATGAATCAATTCACTTATTTATTTTTTTAAAGCAAATATCCCCCTTTCAACTCACCTTGTCCATTCGGTCTCTTTCCACCCCAAACCGACCTCCGTAGCCGTGGGATGCTTTGGGCCCTGATTCCATCTCCTTCTTCTTGAGAACATCATGCTCCTCTGACACTTTGTTCCTCAGCTGGTGAATGCTGGAAGTAACCACATCACAGAGACTCGTCTAGCATAGAGATGTCAACGAACCCTCCTTCGCAGAAAAATTGAAATCTTGCAGTGTGTTCTGTTCACTTTTAGCAATAGCCCCCAAAGTATACCTGTGCTGGGTCTGGGAGTAGGAGGTTAGTGTGGTCTGCATATACAGCCTGATATAAACTCTCCATAAGCCAATAGTATTTCCTCTAGTCTGTTATTTTGCTCACTAAATAACCTTCTGATATTTAGTCTCACGTTCCTAAATATTAGAGGACAGTGTTACCTACATTCTAGCAACCAAAAAGTTATTTTCCACTCTGACTGGATTTGTTGTTTAACAGTTCCGGTACTCTACTTCAAGAAGCACAAAGATATTCATATACCCTTTACCCACACATTCTAGTCCTAGAAGTCTACCCCAAGGAAATAGTTTTAAATATGGCAAAGCTTAATGTCTAATGATATTCACTGAAACATTGTATTTAATAGCAAGAACCAAGAAACAATTTATATGGAAAAAATGGGGAATAGTTAAGTAAATTGCAATATTACTTTTCAATGGCACATGAGGAAGTCATTAAAAATGATGATTATGAAAAATGAAGCATTGGGAAATTTATCTATACATTAAGTATTCTGTGTCTCTTCTTGTCAAAAATGAATGCCCTTCACACTGCCCCTATATCTGCTAATTCCTGAGAGAACTAAAAACTAAAAAAGTCTCACTAATAAAATTCACTCTCATCACTAATTGTTGCAAAACTTTAAGGCTCAAATAACCTTGATTTGGGACACTTCTGTCCTTAAGAGAACATAAAACCAAAAGGAGGCATTCTCTTTCTTACTTCACTTCCATCTCTACCATGTGGGTAGAGAATACCTTTGTGTATTTGTTTGGGCTGAGGATAAGAAGTGACAGCTCAGCACCAGCACGAACACCAGCACCAATAAGTGACAATCAGGACTGATACTTGGACACATATAAGGACCACTGGGGATTCTTAGAAACATTTGGGCAAGAGAACCCTAAATAAAAAATTTGACTTCCTGCAGCAAGAAATGGAGATTTAAGGAACTGAGATATAGTGTTGTTCCTGGGACTTCACTAGCTCAGAAGAACCAGATACATTGCTTACAGGTAGAATGGCCATCTCACAGCAGAAAGTCTCCTCTTTCATGGAAGAATAGATCCATCTTGTGGCCTTGTAGTATAAGTCCAACAGAGGTCTTTTTAAAAAGCCTTCTCAGCTTTAGTCAAAGTTAATTTTAGAAAACTGGCTTTGAGCCAGATGAAATTAAGCTAACAGCTGGAAGAACCCTCTGTTCCTGTGCCTGCTCTAAACCCTCTGGCAGCAGTGAAGGCAGAGATCCTGTGTTGCTATTTCGATAGCAACAACACTTTAGAACTGTCAGTGTCAGAAAAGTTATTGGTTCCAAGAACAGGTAAATGACCAATATTTCCCAACCAAAGTGTTCAGATGAAGAATGAAGAACCTGGGACTAAACATTACTTTCAAATGGGAAAAATTAGCAAAGTTTTAATAAATCCAATTACTGTTACATGGATCATAACTGTATTATAGTTGAAACAAGTTTTTAAAAGGGATTAGAAAATGAGATTCAGGAATATCCACCTAATAGATGACAATGAGGTTAGTCAGAGAATCATGACAATAGATAATATAATTTGAATGAAAATGTTGGGGCCAACGAAGACCAACTTCTTACCAAATTCTTCAGAATATAGCTGAAGCCACTATAAATGTGTTAGTTATATTATTCCTTTATTAAATAAATATTAAACTTCTTTGAGTGTGAGGCACCATTAGGCTCTGACAATACAAAGATAATGTACGAAAATAGTGATAAGGTGGAAATATAGAAAGGAAAAAAAATTGTAATTCAATGTCCTAATTGGCATACCTGAGAAACTTTTAACACATTAACTCTCAGATGCCTATTTTAAGGCTTAAAATACCTTGGAATTGATGAAGCAATACAGTTTATAGAAACCAAGTGACACCCAGGACCTCAAAGATGAGCTAAGAGAAGGAACAGATTTTTTTGTTTTTATTACAAAAGTAAAAGCACAAAAGTGAGTGACAGACTGTAAGATTTTATTCACAGACAGTATGATCATAGTTGTAGAAAATGCTAAGGAATCTACATAAATGTGCTACTAGAACTATTAGGTAAATTTAGCAAGGTCCCAGGAGACAAGATCACTATTAAAAGCAATTTTATTTCTACATACTAGTCACAGACATTTGGAAATTTAAAGTTAAAAATAAATACCACTTACCATCACATGAAATAACATGAAATATTTTAGCATAACTTATTAATAAAATATGTGCAAGATGTGACCACTGAAAAACATTTCTGAAAAAATTAAAGAAGACCTAAATAAATGGAGACATATCCCATGTTCATGGACTGGAAAACTCAAGATTATTAAGATGTGAATTCTCTCTAAAATGATCTATAGATTCAGTGCAATCCCATTCAAAACACCAACAGGCATTTTTGCAGGAATTGACTAGCTAATTCTAAAATGTATGTGGAAATGTAAAGTCCTAGGATGGTAACAAATTTTTTTTTTTTTTTCAAAGGAGAGCAAAGGAGAAGGACTACCTGATTTCATGACTGCAATAAAAAGTGCAGTACAATAAAGCAACAACAACCAGTGCAGTATGGTGTGGGTCAGAGCAGACATATAAATCAATAAAACAGTCTAGAAATAGACCCTCATGTATATGGTCAAAGATGCCAGGTAAGTCAGTGGGGAAAGATTAGTCTTTGAACGATGTTGGAATAATGAGATATCCTTATGGAAATAAAATGAACCTCAATCTTTATCTCACACTGTACGCAAAAGCAAATTTGAAATAGATCATAGACCTAAATGTAAAAGCTAAAACTATAAATCTTTTAGAACAAAACATAGGAAAAATCTTCACAGTTTGAGGTAGGCAAAAATTTCTTAGACACATAAAGCACTAACCATAAAAAATTTTGATAAATTAGACTTCATCAGAATTAATATCTTCTGATATTCAATAGAAGCCATAAAAAATTTTGATAAAAAAAATTTTGATAAATTTTGATAAATTAGACTTCATCAGAATTAATATCTTAAAAAAATTTTGATAAATTAGACTTCATCAGAATTAATATCTTCTGATATTCAATAGAAGCCATTAATAAAATGAAAAGGCAAGTTACAGTCTGGAAGAAAATATTTGTAAAACACATATGTCACAAAAGACTTTTATCCAGAATATATAAAGAACACTTAAAACTCAATAAGAATACAAAGACCCCACTTTAAAAGTGGGGAAGAGATTTGAATAGACACTTCAAAATGAAGATAAGTGAAGATATATGAATGGCACAAGAAAAGATGCTCAATAAAATTAGTCAGCAGAAAAATACGAATTGAAATCCCTACACACTTACAAAAATAGTTAAAATTAAAAATATTAACAATAACAAGTATAAACAAAGATGTAGAGCAACTGAAACCCATACATTATTTGTAGGAGTGAAAAAACGTCTCTTTCAGAAAACAGTTTACTTGTCTCTTAAAAAATTAAAACTCACTTTTTTTTTTTTTTTTTTTTTTTTTGCGGTACGCGGGCCTCTCCCTGTTGTGGCCTCTCCTGTTGCAGAGCACAGGCTCCGGACGCGCAGGCTCAGCGGCCATGGCTCCTGGGCCCAGCCGCTCCGCCGCATGGGGGATCTTCCCGGACTGGGGCACAAACCCGTGTCCCCTGCATCGGCAGGCAGACTCAACCACTGCACCACCAGGGAAGCCCCAAACACACTTTTTATATGATTCAGGAATTCTACTACTTTTAGGTACTTCCCAAGAGAAGTAAAAATGTATGTTAACAAAAAGATTTGGATCAAAATGTTCATGACAGCTTTATTTGTAATAGTCCCAAATTGTCAACAACCCAAATGTCTATCAACAGGTTAATAAACCAAACTATGGTATATCTGCACAATGCAAAATTACTTGACATTAAAAAGGAACAAAAGACTGATATACACAAGACCATGAATAGATCTCAAAAATATTATGCTTAGCGAAAGAAGACAGACACAAAAGAATACCTTCTATATTATTCCACGTACATGAAATTCTAGGATAGGCAAAACTAATCTGTAGTGACAAGGAGCAGATCAGTGTTTACATCCAGCCAGGGGTGGGGAGGGGTATATTGACTGTAAAGAGGCACATGGGCACAAGTGAGCAAAAGTGGGGAGAAGAAGATGGAGAAAATGCAAGAGCCCTTGAAAACCTGGAAGCTCCTGGAAACACTAGGCTGCTTGGAGCCACCTGGCCTAGGACTTCTCTACACAATAGATGAAGGATGGATAGGATCACTTGAACTATTCACCAAATTACCAAACCATTCCCCAAACTAAATATATTTTAGGCAGACTTAAAAAAGAAAGATCATGGTGTGGGGGCTGGTAGTGAGATTAATGAGAACCACAATCACTTCCTTTTCCTGCTTTGAGTCATCTGAACTCTGCAGCTACTGTTCTCCTGTTCAACTTCCCCTCCTTTCCAAGGACTTTAGTGATTCCCCTCTGATCTTAAAGGTTGTACTAGCCCACACTAGCCAGAAAGAATCCCAGAGTATTGGAGGCTTACTACTGGAAGGTCCTCTAGAGGTCTTTTTGATCCCAATGGCAAGACTGGGAATCAGAGGGAAGTGACCTGTCCAGGATCACCTGGTTAGTTACCAGCAGAGACTGAGCTTTTATACCTCAGTAGCCTGGGTAAACGGGAGGGGAGTGGGTTTTTGTATAAATGTCTCCACCATTTATTCTATCAGATATAGATTCAGTTAGGCTAATAAGGAAACACCCAGGGTCACCACATTTTACAACTCCAGGGGTCACCAGTCAGAGTAATATATATACTGGACTGTGTAACACAACAGTTCAGGTAAACGCCACTTAGGAAGAAGGAAGATCACCATCTGTTTACATGTTTATTTTTAGGTTTTTAGGAAGAAAATCTGATTCAACTAATCTACATTAACAGGAAAGAGAAATAACATTATTGAGCTGCTAAGTGGTGCTAAGTACTGCACTAGATTTTGCTATAGGCTAGTTCATTGAATTCTAACCATACACCTGCCAGGTAGCTATTATTATCCCCATTTGATAAATAAGCTGAGTTTCAGAGAGGCTATATGTCTAACTCACATTGCTATTAATGGGAGAGCTGTGAATTGAATCTGAATCTATCTGATATCCAAACTCCAGCTCTTTCCATAAGATCATGGCATGGATTTAGGAGTCTTCTTTAAAATGTTCTACTCCTACTCTGCATAAGACAGGCACTGGGAGGGGAAAGGTACAGGGAGAGTTTGTATGCTTATCTTAACAGTTCTCAGGATCCTAGGACTGAGCGGCCTTTTCTCAGAAAAGGAAAGACGTCTTAATTTGGGTAGGATTGATGAGCCTACAGAGGAGCATCAAAGAAGCTTCCTGCATGACCCAATTCCATGTTTTTGCTTTCCAACTGCTTCCAGAATTGCCTACTTTCTTTAAATATGATATTCATTACAGTTACTTGAAATAAATCATTTATGTCTGATTAAACAACACTGCAGAGTACTGAATATTATCAAATTGTATAAACATGTGCCAGGTTTTCATAGTGTGTTTCTTGTGCAATGTGAAAATCCACTGACACTTTTTAAAATCTAGAAGAAAATGAGGTAAAAACACTGCTGTTTGTGGGGGAGGGGAGTTAAAATGGAGCTTACAAAAGATTAATTTTGCCAATTTATTTACTTTTTAATTTTGCTCCTGTTACACTGTTTATTGCGCCTATTGGACATTCTGACGCTATCCAAAGCAAACAGCCCTGGTTAGATGATCCCGAATAATCCATGGATTATTAAAGAAGAGAGAATCTCTCAATCCTAATACACAATATATCCCACAGAAACCCCTGGATTTGTCTGTGAGTAACTTCCTTCTCTGTTATGGTATCAGAGTTTATTGTTTGTTTGGCTTTTTTTTTTCTGGTAACATATTGGGTTATAATCTTTAAGATCCCTATACATCAACAGGTTTTCCAAGTGTCATATTTCTTCATATTACCATTCATGGCTTCCTACTTCTATTAAGTAGCCAAACACAAATTTTTATTTTAAAAGTCAATTAGACCAGGTATGGGACCTGATATTGTCCTCGTTTTACAGCATTTATTCTGAGTTCTTTACCTTGAAATTTTACTGAATCCCCCTTGGCCCATCAGAAGTCACCCTACAATCCTGACACACATTTACATTTATGTGAATAGATAGATAGTAAATGATACAAGCTCAGCACTTCCCTCTCTGAATTCCTCATGCCTTACTGATGGAAGAGAAACAGTTATAATAATAGGCACAGTTGGGGAAATATCAGAGTGGTTAGAAATAAAAGACAGATAATAGGGTTGGGGGGATAAGAGGAGAGACATGAAACAAATACACGATGACACCCAAAGGGACACATGGGGACAGACTGAAGGAAAAGCAAAGACACACAGACAGGAATTTCCCTCTTTCCTTCCCCCCTTGCCTTCTCCTGAGTCTCCAAGTTTTCCTTGGGTTCTTCCCATACCTCTTT